GGAACACCAGTTTGTCTTCTGACTCCAAAGACTGAAGAAGTTTCAGAGACTCATCAGTCACTTCCAAATATATTTTGGTGTTACTTACCCTGACCTCAGGTCAGCCAGTGTTTTATACTTAGTTCAGCAGCTGCTGCACGAAATAGACCTCAGTGTCACAGAGGGGGGAGGTGAACTCAACTTTGTCAACAGACACCTACAAGATAATGTGGAGAAGTTTAGTTGTGAAAATCACCTGAGTTATTATTGTTGTTGTTGTTCTTTTTTATGACAAAGAGAGAAATTAATTTACCAGCTGACTCTGATTCCAGGCTACAAATTAAAATCAATTTATTTTATGTCCAAAAGAATCTGAGATTATGTTCTAGCTTCTTGAAAATTTAAACTGATTCTGCAGTTTTGAGTTGTTTGTCGCCCAAAACAAGATATTTGTATACAATTTCAATTTATCACCCTAGAGACCAAATGATTAATAGAGAAAATAATGCACAGATTAGTGGAAGATTACTGAAGGTTTCCATTAGATGCACCTCTACACAGATTTAAACATAAAGGAGTTTAGGTCTGACACAACTTATAAAAATGTAAATCTTATTATGTCAACACCCACCACCTGTTCATCAGAACATAAACAACTATAAAACAGAGACTTCTTAACTGTTGGTGTTAAACATGGATTTGTTTTCTTAATAATAATTCAGTATAATGTCGTGGTCCAGTCAGATCTCCTGAGCTCTTTAGTGATTGATGCAACTATAATTAAATTCATTTATCAAACTGAAGCCATCTGGACTTTCTGTCTGGTCACAAATCATCTTTAGCGCAATGAGGTCAAACTCTGAGACCTGACTGACAAACACACTAATAACTTTATATCAGAGGTTTTTATCTGCTTAAAGCAGCTGTAAGGTATTATTATGACAGGGTGTTGAGTGTCGCTGGTAGAGAAAGATCAGCTGAATCTTCATAGAACTTTATGGTGACTTTCAGCTCATTGTTTACCTGTCCGACCACAACTGTACTGTTCTGGTTCACTCTCAGGGTGCTTTCACACCTGCCCTGTTTGGTTCAGTTCAATCAAACTCAAGTTCATTTGCCCCCTAAGGGCAGTTCATTTGGGCAGGTGTGAACACAGCAATCACACTCAGGTGCGCATCAAAACAACCAGACTGAGACCTTCGTGAAAAGGTGGTCTCAATCCGGTTACAAATGAACTCTGGTGCGGTTGGTTTGTGGTGAGAACGAGTTCCGACCTGGATGTAAACCAACTGCAGTCACATGACACATTGTTTAGGTTAAACATGAGCATGTTACAGTACTGGAGGATTATTAATGTGCACCTCCTCCTGTACTGCCTTAATATGAACATTCAGCACATCCAATGCATCAAAACATTGTTTTCTAGTTGGAGCTGCGCCTCGTTTTCAAACTGTATGGTTTGACTAAAATGAACAATGACAGCAATATAGTCCACGATGAGCAGTGCTAAAATCAACCTGCGTAGTTGTCCCTCCATTGTGACATTAGAAAGTGTCACATTTATCTTGCAAGTGTACTCTTCTTCAACGTTTGCTTTACTTCCTGGATTTTTATCACAATGAGGTATTGAAGCCGTGTTCGGCGTGATGATGTTCTGTAGTCTCATGTAGCCACTTGTTAGCAACCGCCAACACCTAAAGGCTTTAAAATATATATGAGCAGGGTAATTACTGATGTATTTTATGTCGTAGAACAAAATGTTAAAGTCTCTTCAGCTGTGTGATCTTATTTCAGGCATCTAACCAAAAAATTCCATTCAAAAAACCTGTTGGCTTCAACAGGACGTACTAACATACTGGCTCATCTCTGGGTTTGAGGACTAATTCCAGCACCACTTTGTATTGGACTTTCATCAAGTGACACAAACACAAAGACTCCTGATGAATCATCATTTTAATCTGTAACCGCTGGATGTGGAAATAACGTTCAACACATCAACTTAAAGGTCATAATGTGTTAATGTTGACTTCACTACAGAAACATAAGTTGGTGACGTTTTAAGGGCCCTTTAGCTGTTTTATTGGAGGTGCTCTGGTATCTTTCAGTCCTCATCGGCCAAAAGTAATTTAGAGATTCAGTTAAATTAGACATTTGTTGGTGTTTACTCCCATCATGGCTGCTCAGTGAGCTGAGGTTGGAGGAAAGCAGGAGGCTTCATCAATCCTCTGAGCTGCTGTTTCACGAATTAATATCTGCTCAGCCTGCAGTGTGAACCTGTGTGTGTGTGTGTGTGTGTGTGTGTACCTGCATAGGTTATTTCCATAGCAACCATAGAGTCGCACCTGCTGAGGGAAGCTGTTTGAGTGCACTCCAGAGAAACAGATGTTCCTGCATGGCCCCATGGGAACAGGAAGCATGAAGTCAGCAGATTCTTCAGCAGTAAACACACACGCACGTACAGTCAGTGTACAGTGTGTCCAAACACGGTTTTATTTAGAGACTGTCCTCGCCCCAAAAAAACAGCCGAATCAGTTGTTTCAGCAAATGCCCCTAAACTACATCTGTTAATGTCACAGTGAGAGCGCCCTCCAGTGGTCGGAGGAGTTATGACTCTTCAGAAGAAGGTTATGGTGTTAATTCTGCAGTTGTTCAAACACTCAAACACACCTCTGCAATGTGGAGAGAGCCTACAGGTGTATCTGTCTGTGAACGATTTGTCACCTGCAATTTGATTTTTGGAGGCTTTAAACTGAAAACGGTTTCTCACGGTGACGTCATTAAATGTCCTGTTTAAGACAACAACAGTTTAAAACTCTAAAGAGATTTAGTTTAATGTGAAATAAAGCAGACAACAAGAAAGAAATCCAGGAAATACACTCAGTTAATAAACGAATCGTTTCAGCTCTGTATCATGTTTCTCTAACTTTAATAGTGTTAACTTTAACCCTTATGAGTAGAGGTGAGTCCAGAGTCACTTGCCATGTTTCCATCAGCCTGTTTAGATGCACATCTAGAAGTATCGTATCGAAAAATTATGATGGAAATGCCAAAATTCGAATTAAAATCCCCTGATTCGCACAAACTAAAATACACTCGCTTTAGCCGGGTTTTGGTTGATTCGAAAAAATGTTGATTTGCAAAACGGGGGATGGAAACAGTTATGTTCAAATTAATGGTAATATCCACACTCCAGGTCAGGAAGGCGGTAATGCATTTACAAGCTGGTTGCCAACCGCCAGAAAACGTAGAAGAAGAAGAATGCAAGATTTGTTTTGTTTCAGGTTCTGTGGAAAACTCACAAAAAACTAATGCGCATTTCCCAATGATTCTAATCACTTTTGGATGGAAACATAGCTACTGTTCAGTGTGAGTTTGATACAGCAGGAAAAAATAACTCATCAATATCTCCTAGTTATTGTGTATGTAGAACAGACGGTAGAACAAAGTCAGACACAATCCTCCCTGTGGGAACATTTTGTTAAACTATTTCCATGATAAAAATAAGGAACATTACAAACACTTGTGTATCGTAATGTACTAACATTGAACAAACACTTTCCCATAATGCAACAGGTCACAACAGGCTATAACACTGAAAAGCTTCCCTTGTGAAATCAAACTGAAAATACTAAATAAATAATAAAAACTAAATTGTGCATTAGGAGGAGTGTTTCAGTTGTTCCACCTTTGTTTAATCATTCGAAACAACAAAATATTTATCATCCTGGTGAGCGTCACATCTGGGTGAGGATGTTAAATGTGTGTTAGCATGTTGGATGTGTTTCCATTTACAACGCAGACACGCTGTCCTCGCCTTACACAACTGTCTCTTCGTTGTTCTTGTAGCTGACCTGCAGGAACCTGTCTTCCAGCTCCGCCTTTTCATCTGTGTGACTGACTCACAGACAATCAAATCGTTGCGCTAACCTCAGCACATTTTGCAAACAGCGTACGGCTAAAACAAAAAACAGCCACACTGCTACAGCCTTACTGTGACAATTCGGTTCAAATACAGGAATCCTTACACTTGTACTGTTAGAGCTGCACTGTAAGAGCCGTACCATGACAGCCAGAACAATACAGCTGTACTTTTACAGCCGTATTGCTAAAGCCGTACTGTGACAGTTTGGTTCCAATACAGAAATCTTTACAGCCACACTGTTACAGCAGTACTGCTTCAGCCAGACCACTACAGCTGTAATGTTATAGCCGAACTGTTACAGCTGGACATTGACGGTTTGGTTCAAATACAGAAATCATTACAGCCGTGGTTATTATGATCGTCTCTCTAAGCAGGTAATGTGCGTGTCTGAACATGCTACCAACAGTGTTCAAATAAACACAAGAAATGTGTGCTCTAGAGAAAGGATCAGCACTCAGTGAATAACCTCCTAAGCCCTATGATAAGCTGTTATGGCAAGGCTTAACTATACAGACGGGTGAGCAGTGATAACTAACACGTATTTGGAGTCATCAGGTGGGAACCTCCTTTCACCAGTGTTTCGTCTAGTTGGTCCCACGACACCTCCAGGAGGCTAGACAGTGATCTCTGGCGTCCCAGAGACACTCCCCTAATGCCAGCTCTCACTGCTCCCCACACCAACCCAACAACCTCCTTTACCTTACTTACACGTGGCTTTCTCAGCCCAAACAGCACTGCCACCTTCAACAACCCCAGAGATATAACAAGTCACAGACAGATGATGATCCTGCTGAGGTCAGATCATAACGTTACAATCGCTGTATGTTGTGTTTTAATTTGGAGGAGCTGTTGACTGTTTGTGTGTCGTGGTCTCATCTTCCTCCTCACAGTGTGAACCTCGCAGCTCATGCAGATGTTAACAGATGTTAGTGTCTGAACAGGAATGTGACAACTTCTAGTTTCTCTGCAACATTTTAATGATCAGTCAGCTGATCTCAGTACAGCAGAGCCTAACTGGAGTCATGTTCCCTCCTCAGCTGTGAAGCCTCACATGTTGATACGTGTAACGAACAGTTTGTTCCCTCCTCTGTGTCTGCAGGCTGTGCAGTGGTGGCTGATCTGGGGTCAGCCTGGTGGACTTTAGGCTGCAGGACTGTGCGCTGCGAGTGGTCATGAAGCTGCCCTGCTCCCTGTACGGCTCCCTGTGGTTCCTCTTGCTGCTGGGAGCCGGATCTCTGCTGCTGCTCGTCCGCCTGCAGGACCTCACCGAGGTGGTGCTGCAGCAGACCCCAGGTCAGTGCTGCCTCTGAGCTCCGCTGGCTGCTGATCAGTTTGAACTGGAGGCAAACACAGTGTTAACCACATTCTCTCACATCTCTCACTACATTTCTGTCTCTCTCCCTCTTCCTCCTCCATTTGACGATCACAGTTCTGACTTGTGAGCATAAAAATGATTAAAACGCCTGCAGTGCTGATGTTCTGTTCTGCTGTTGATGTTGGTTATTTTGATGCTTTTAGCACCCGCCGTGGTGTCTGCAGCTCTCTTTCTCTATCTGTTTTTTTTAATTAATTGTCTCTTTTTTGGTTAAAGCTTGTAGGTCTGCACTGAGGAAGCAATTTTAAGTTGTGTTATTAGTTATAGTTATATAGTTATACACACATACTGCAAAGTGTTTGTGGAGGAGATTTTGAAACTGTGAGGGGTTTTTACAGGGGAGAGGTGGGAGAGAGGTGAGGTAAAGTTACTGTGTGTGGTGAAAGGGGCAGGTGCATGCAGGTGTTCTGTAATGTCAGCAGGATGTTAGGTAGTGGTGGGCAATACCACAAAATTTGGTTTCAATCAGATACTAAATAAAACAGGGCAAGAACCACCAATATCAATACTCATACAATACTTTTTATTATCAAAAGTGGCTTTTTTATTTTGGGCTGGGAGTGGTATGTCATGACTTATGAGGTGAACCAACCAACGCTGAAGACCTGATTGGACTAAAATATTAATTCACTAGGCTACTATATATACCTGGAATATTCCTCGTCTAAGCTGCTCGAAAGAGACTCTCCCAGTGAACTCTGTCTCTGTGTCAGAGGTCTGGACGCTGAGGCATTTCTCTTCTCCTCCCTTGTTTTTAGTTGCAGCTCCAAGTTCTGTTTCTCATGTTTTTTTCCTCTTTCATTAATCCATCACTGCTATTATGTGTCGGATAAAACTAGTCAGGCTCGAACATACTATCCTCATTGAATGTCCTACTGTAACGTGGATGCGCACGCCATTCTATTCACAGTACAATTACGGTCCATGTCTACCCTGGAAATCCAGAGTTCTTGCAAGAGCATAATTTGAATTTGCTCAGTGAGTCACTCTGACAATCAGTAATGATGCTCATTACCCATGCCGTTGGAGCCGAGTTGCACCAATCACATCGGTGTATCTTATAGGCGGGCCAGAGGCAAGCTAAACAGATGACGACGCTGAGCGCTGCGACGAAGAGGTCCTTAATCAGTCAGTAAACACTGCAAGATGGCTACGGATGAACACCAGTTGTTTGAAACAGCTTTGGCTGCTACAATGAACGAGTTAGACTTGGCTTTTTCTCTAAAAGAGGAACAGAAGACGGCGCTCTTTCCTTTGCAAGAAGGACGTTTTTGCTGTTTTGCCGATGGATATGGCAAGAGTCTAATCTACCAGTTAGCTCCGCTGGTAGCTAAGCTCTGGATACGTCACCCCGTGTATTGTTCTGATTGGTCGTAGTGTTATCCAATTGCGTGCAGTGATATTTTCTAGGGATGCACTGAAATGAAAATTTTTGGCCGAAGCCGAATAATATTAAACGCTTGGCCGAATACCGAGTACCGAATATCGTTGTTTAGTTTTTCATTAGTTTTTGCAGATGAACCCCCTCCAGATTAGTGTGACCCACGGTACGATACCAGTGAAAATATCATGGTTCTGAGTAGTATTACGATACCACGGCAAAAATGAGGCAGATGTGCCTTTTGTCATTTATAAAAAGATAAATCACTTTTCTATAATACATCAATGATATTTCAGTGGAATAAATTACTTACTGACTTATTCATACTTCAAAAACAGCATCAATCAGTGATGAACATAGGGGGGATCAAAATAAAATAAATAAATAAAATAAGAATCAACCAGTCACCCTCCTCCCCTGACAGTCCCTTCATAAGTAATGAACAGTCCCTAAAGTGCGGTGAGGTTTGTGGACCGTTACTGACACAAAGACAGAAATGTGAAAGGCTCGTTTCTCCTCTGACACGTCACATACCTGTGTGCCGCCACGGCTCAGCTGTTCAGGTACTTCTGGGCAGTCATGACGCCAAGAAGAGGATATTATTGGAGCCGACTTCTCCGTCGCCGGTAAGCCGATGGCCGCCGTATTTGACAAGAATGCATTACTGTCTGTGTCTGTGACCCCGTTCAACCCACAACCAGTTGGATTCACCTTTCGTTTCTGCTGCTGGTTGAAATCTGTAGGCTGCTCGCACAGCGTGCTGAATGATTTAAGCCTATTTTGCTCGCTCAAAACTATTTTTAGTCGCAAATGAAAGTGCAATAAAGGACAGATCGCCACACTACCGACATTATAATCCACAAGTCAAGACACACAGTTTGATTGCGTTATCAAAACACGCCGCTATTATTCAGCCTTGCTTTTCACTTATTCCACCGAATACCGAATGTGTGTTTTTATGCAATATTCAGTTACCAAATATTCGGTGCATCCCAAATATTTTAAAATGCATGCTTGGTGCCACCCCTCGAGTTGGGTCATTTGCATTACTCATAGCCAGACCCTAAATCTTTCTAGATTTGGGTCTGGATTTCCAGGCTAGTCAGCCCCCAGCAGTAAACAGGAGGGCTGGGAGGTGGCGTCATCATCCTCCTACTGCCGGTATCTGGTGAAACTAAAAAGATGCAGCAGAAGTGAATCGTTTAAGTGCAGACAGCACAAAAGCAGTGGAGAAGCAAAGAGTACATGCACTAGATGTGCTCGGTTTTACTTTTGAAATACAAATATGTACGATGTGGAAGAGATTAACTAATCTCTTTTTTTGGTATTGATCCTGTTCACCCTAAGATCGATCTTCTTGTATCAAGAGTTTCAGTATTTTAGGATCAAGCCACCCATCCCTTATGTGAGGTATCTTAATCAGGTGCTGCAGCAGAGATGTACAGATCATGGAGGAGGTAAAGAAACTTCTTCTCCTCACTGATTGAAATGTGAACACAGACATGAAACACATGTTGATATCATTCAGTGTGACCGCTCATTATCTCTGATGTCCATAAAGAATAAACGGCCGTAAATCCACTTAGAAACATAATGATTCTTGTTTCTATGATTTCTAAGTTTTCTTCAGCATCAGAGTAATCCAGTGACAGTTGTCTGTATGTCCACTGGGACACTGCAAACAGGAGCTGCCCACACGTCCTTCAGCTCACTGTGCATGGACACTCTTTGACACAGTGTCAGACTTCATATCTATGTACAGTTTATAGAAAATGAGTTAGTATTTGATGGTGAAGTGAGATGTTGTTCTAGTGGGAGAAGTCAGAATCAAATTTCGATCAGGAGAGACTTGTTCTGAGAGAAAAGAATATTTATTTACATGTGCACATAAGTATGAGAAATGTGAAAAGTCTTGTGATTTGACCCCATGGTGATGTTATCTATTCCAGGAGGGTGGTAAAGATGTGGTAGATTAGGGAACTCCCCATATGGAGTCTGGATGCTGGTGGTGGTAACTGTGATGATGAGATGAAGAGGGAGCTGAGGATCTGGATGTAAAGAGGAGTGGGCTTTGAAGAGCTTGTCCTGGGCTCTGGATAAGGTGACTGGAGGTGAACGGGGTGGATTGACGATTCCACCTAAAATGACAGCTGACAGGAGCAGAGAGGAAAACAGATTTAAAGTTTAGCAGCAGCAACATGAATGACTGAAGGAGATTGTGGCAAAGTTTGACTGGCTAACCAATATCTGCTTTTGTTCTGTTATTCTCTAAGAAATGCACATTTCTGCACAGACCACTAAAGAAATGTGTGATAATATTATTATTGAATAACAATGTGTCTGAGAAGTGAGAAACGAAACCTGCTTATAAAATAGACCCTTCAGTTAGTGTTTGTGTCAGAGCTGACCTGAGTTCAGTGGTGTCTCAGTCTATTGGCTCTCCTCTCTCATCACACTAACACGTCTTTTCTCCAGCTCGCAAGAAGCTGCAGAACAGGCCGTAATTGTTGTGTTGTGTCTCAGCGTGTGTTCGGTAATAAAGCTCCCATCAGGCTGTTTTAATGTGTCCATGTGAAAACACTGATGATGTCGGCAAATCACACACGCAAACATTTACAAGACTCAACTCTTTATTAACACACCGAGTTTGTTCTGGTTCATGTCGGACTTCTGATTTCACTAATTAGTCCCTACAGAGGCAACATGGAGTAATCATTATTCTCAGCACCAGTCAGTAAAACAAACACAGTGATGATGTTTGCATGCACAGAATATTCTGATTTCTGCCCTCACTCTGTAAAATACAACATTTTAACTAAGCTGTTTACATGGCTAATGAAAATGAATATTCCACTAATACTCATGTTTACATGCATCCGTGCACACTCTGATTAACGTACCCTAACGTGTCGTTTATCACGTTAAAATATACATAAGTAGAACGGCTGGAGCTGTATGTCATTTTGCTTCTTTGCATTGAAATGGATTATTTCAGTTTTCCACCAGTGGTTGAATTATTGGGCCGTGTGAACACAGCTTTTCGCTTTCATTCCTTCATCCACCTTCTTTAAAAAGGTCGGCGTTGTGATATTTGTGCATATCTAAAAACCTGTTGATATACAGGTCTTTCATAATGTTTAAAGTGGGTGTGTTTCTCCTTCAGACCAGAAATACGGGCTTCTCTTCTGGATATACATCTCTATCTCACAGGGCTGGGTGATATGGAGAAAATCAAATATCACGATATTTTTGTCCACCTTAATAATCATTAGTAATGTGGATATGATGACAAATTTTGTAAAAGCAAATACCAGAACAGTTAAAACAGTCCGGTAAGTTCAGATTATTGCATCACTTGTGTAAAACCAGGAGAAGACAAAACTTGGGATGTTACGATATTCAAATCTAAGACGATATCTAGTCTTATATCATGATATTGATATTATACCAATATATTGCCCAGTCCTACTACCCCAGCCTTCAAACTGTTGGTGAGTTGGTTTTTGTAAAACATTTCCATGACCATGCACAACACGC